CTTTGATGACGATAATGATGACGAAGCTGAAGAAAATGAAGAAAATGAAGGAGGCGGAGGTAGAGGCAATACAGATCGAAGGAATTTTTGGTCGCATGCTGAAGATGAGGTCCTTGTGAGAGCTTGGCTTGAGGTAAGTAAATATAAAAAAAACTAATACCAACCAAAAGGGGAATGAATTCTGGGCAAAAGTTTAGGCAATGTTTAATAATTTTAGATTATATAGAGAGAGGCAATTTGAACAAGGTACTGAAGAGATTAAGAAGGATGATTTGCTAAGAGTAATTAAGGGCTTTGGAGCCACTTAGATGTCGGTGCAAAAGGCTAAGTGCTAATTGTTCAAAATTTTCAGGTGCGTATGCACATGCTGCATCAAGGAGAGGAAGTGGTCATTCTGACGACGATGTTATTAAGGTTGCGCGTAGAATTTATAGGGACGACAAAACTAGGAAAAATACCAGTAGAGTTTTCCAAGATATGCATGCTTGGGATATTCTGAAAAATGAACAAACATAAGCGAAAATGAAGATCCAGTCGAGACATGTAAGCAGAAGACAGCAACCCAATCCGGTGTTTCATTGAGATCTCGGATTAATGAAGCTAGTAATTACTCGTCTTCAACAAATCTAGATACACCGACCAGTGGTGATGTTGGGTGTTTAGGCTTCCCCTCTATTGATGATTGTAGCAAAAATAAAGGTAAGAACAAAGTTATGAACATGGCGACGGAAAATTCTCAACAATGGTTGCTTACTATTCAAAACATGAACATAACAAGGCAATCTGAAACTGAGATGGAGATGATGAAGTTGAGGTTCCAGAGAAAGACAGAAGGTGAAAATGCTCATCTAGAAAGGGAGAGAGAAGCACAAAAGCAAAGGAAAATCAACTTGGAATTGTTCAAGATACTTAAAGCAAAGCCATACTTATCAGAAGAGGATCAAGAACGAAGGAATACAATTTAGTGAAGATATTATTCCCATCCAATTAACTTATTGTCTTCAAAATGTATTAGTGTTAGATTCTAGAATGATTAGGTTGTTGTTTAGTGTCAACTTTTGTACTTGAAGTTGTAATCATGTTGTTTAAGTTGTTATTTATTATCAATTAATTGTTTACTATTTTTAAAAAGTATTGCATTAATGGAATTACTGACATTGATGAGATGTAACAATAACAAAAATTGTGCATTGCTCACATGAACTTACGTATTTGTATTTTTCTGATAAATGTAGGTATTTAATTTTATGCGATTGCTCACTGGAAAAACTAAAGACTTACCCTTCTAAAAAAGTGAAACAATTATTGATTTTGATAAGACATAAAAATGACCACACAACCTATTGATATGAAATCACATTGAAGCTTTTCAGTACATTATTTTTTATGGTGAATGATAGCATTATAACAACACACTATTATTAAAGTTCGTACATAGTTCTATATATTGCTATATGTTTTAATTTGGTTTCACTCAACCAATCAATAATAAACTAGCTCTCTCATCAAAGTAGCTTCCTTAGCTTTGAAAATGTCAGAGAGTTCTAGTTCGTCCAACTCATCTTCTAACTCTTCCAATTCATCTGCCAACACAAATCAAAATTCCAATGATGACTACAACCGACGTTATGAGAGACAGATCGGAGGCAAGCAAATCGTCTTGTTGATTTAATGATGGATGAATTCATAATGACCAATCCATTTGAATTCTTTTAAATGGTTAATCAAGTTCCAAGGGCACCAAGGACACTGGTCGAAAGGGATCGTGAAGACGGACACAACCGTTTATGGAATGACTATTTTGCTGATCCTTAAGTGTTCCCTCCAAACTTGTTCCGTCGGAGATTCCGCATGAAAAGGCACGTCTTTCTCCGTATTGTGCATACTTTAGAAGAACGTCATCAGTTCTTTCAACAAAGGCAATATGCTACTGGTAGATTTGGAGCATCAGCATTGTAGAAATGCACCGCGACTTTAAGACCACTTGCATATGGAACTGATGCTGATTCCGTTGACGACTACTTACGAATTAGTGCATCTCTTGCGAGAGACTCCTTACAACATTTTGTTGAAGGAGTTGTCTCTTATTTTAGTGACGACTATATGAGAAGACCTAATGAAGAGGATATGGCCAAACTCCTACGAGATGGAGAACGTCGAGACTTTCCAGGGATGATGGGATCCATTGATTATATGCATTGGCGATGGAAGAATTATCCTTTAAGATTGAAGGGCATGTTTTCCGGGAGAGCTAATAAGCCCCACTTTGATTTTAGAAGCTGTGGCATCACAAGACTTTTGGATCTGGCATGCTTTTTTCGGGACTCCAGGTAGGTGTAATGATATAAATGTTCTTGAAAGGTCTCCATTATTTGATGATATATTCGAAGGTCGTGCACCTTCGGTTAACTATGTCGTTAATGGCCACCAATACAATATGGGATATTATCTCACTGATGGTATATATTCTACATGGGCGACATTCATTCCCACAATGTCCCTCCCCCAAAATGAAAAAGAGGGTCTTTTCGCCAAAAAGCAAGAAGGTTAGCGAAAGGATGTCGAACGTGCATGTGTTATCGTACTATCGTGTATTATTATTAGTTAATGAGGTTTTAAATTAAGTGTCCATGTATTTTACATTTGCGCTTCAATAATACATCATTGATTATAATTAGAGGTCGTTTGGTTGGGGGTATTCAGGAAAGGGAATGGGAATCAACTGCCCCGATTCCCTTTGTTGTTGTTTGTTAAGCACTTTTTTTTCACTCCCTTTACCCTCTCATTATCCCAAATCCTTCCAACTTCATTCCCCACCCCCTAGAATTTCCCATTCCCTTTCCTAAGCACCCCCTAGACTTTCCCATTCCCTTTCCTTACCTAGTCGCACCTCCACGGCTCCACCGACCATCGCCGTCTCTTCCCCGACCATCGCCGCCCCTACCCCGACCATCGGCGACCTTTGCTGCCCCCTTCCCCGACCTTCCAATAGCTTCCATGAGCTTGCACGACCTTCGCTGCCCCTTCCCCTCCCCTCGCCGCCCACCGATAAACGCGCGCCGCCCAAAAACCCCTCCCCTACCTCGAAAAACCTCCGAAAACCCTAAGGGAGGTTTTTTCGAGGGAGAGATGAGTCGCTTTGGGCCCAGCACGTGGTGGGGGAGGGCTTGCGAAGGGCGGCGAGGGGAGGGGGAGAGCCGCCAAGGGGCGGGGAGGGGCGACGAGGGGTTTGGTGGTTGAGAAAGATGAAAAATTAATGAAATGTGTGGTTGTGTGGTGGTTGTGGTGGTGGTGTGGTGGTGTGATTGATTCTCTTTGTATTAAAAACAAGCAACAAAGCAAAATAGGGTATTTTTATTTCATTCTTCTCCTTTCCTTTTGTTCATTCCATTCCGATTCCCTCGTGCGAACCAAACGACCCCTTAGTGTATAATTATATTTATAATTAAGTATTTTAAATTTTAATTATATGTAACAATTATAGGAATTACTAGGTTAGCACCCGTGCAATGCACGGTAATATACAGTTATATATAATTATAGATTATTGATTGATAAGTATTTTATTATAAATTAGTCGAGAAATAATAAAAGTATATATGTAATATGTCTTTTTTTAATTTTAGCTTCTAATACACAACTAAAATAAAAGTAGGCAAAAAATCAAAGCTATATATTTTCTTGCTATAAAGTAGGTCACAAATTAATGCGAGTATGATTTTTGGTTTATATTTTAGAAAGATTTGTGAAATATTTTTATTGTAAATATTATGATTACTACTTATTAATATGGAATATGTATATAAAATAATGTTATTTTTGTAAATAAATTGATTTCCTTAATCAATAAATATTTTTTTTTTTAAAAAAATAACTAAAGACACACCAGGAGATGACACGTGTCATTGCTGTTGTGTCTTTTAGTATATAGTTATTGATGATTGATTTTAGTATATAGTTACTAGATGAATCCCGTGCGATGCACGATTTGTTTGATTTTTTTTTAATATTTTTTTTTTTGTATTTATGAGCCTAAAATTTATTATATATTTAGATAAAATTCCTAATATTAAAAGATAATATATAATATTTAATTAATTTAAACTTAAAAATCTCATTCGCCAGTTTTTCTTACATGGCATTTAAATTATTTAATTCTAAAAGAAATTAATAATCTCTTATTTAATTGGCTACTACTAAGATTTATAATCCTACATGGCGCGCTGAGAAAATTAGATCCTACGTGGCTCTCTAAAAACTCGGGAAAAAACTCCCCTTTATATATATATATATTAGATTGATTGATTGATTATTTTTTTAAACAATAATTTTAAATTATATGGTTAGATAGAAGAGAGAAAATATATGGTGGGGTATGATAAAAGTAGGAGAAAGAAATTACTCCCTTCGTTAATAGTTATGTGCAACTTTGCACATGATTACGGTTACCAAGGAAAAAGATGGAGGGCAAAGATTAGAGGGATTTAAGAGAGTTAATTAAAGTGAGTGGAGAGATAAAGGTGGTCCCCCCCACTTGCAAATATGGAGGGGAAATCTGATTTTTTTTTGGAGGGGTTTGTTTCCCCACCCCCCCAAATTTTCACAAAAAAATTTGATTTTGGGAAATTTAAAATTCCCTATAACTTTAAAAAAAAAAAAAGTTAAAAACCAAGTATTCTAATTTCATTACAGCATTTATGAGGCTTATAAATAGCAGCCTCCATCATTCATAAAGCATTGAATGCTTCTCAATAATTACATAACAATGTTTGTTCAAAAGCTAGCTGAATTTCACCAAAAGTTAGCACTAATTACATACGTTTAGCCCATAAACAACCCAAGAAATTACTCCTAATCTAAAATTAGTGCTAAACTGAAGTTAATCATCAAATCATCAAGGCATCAGCTTGAGGGCAACATCATCTCATCATAAACCTTCATCAGCCCACCCCCCTTCACCATCTACAGCAATCTACAAGTGAACAAAAGAAACAAAAGACATGGCAGCAATAGATGAAGACCCTTTTTTCGACATTGAACACTTAATTTCAGAGGAAGAAATTGCAGAAATGTACTACGACTATGAAGAGCAGATGCAAGATGCAGATTTTGAAGCATACAGCTCAGACAATGAGAACATGCAAGAAGAGGCAGAAATAGAAGACACAACCATTAACAACAACAATCAAACTCAGCAAGATGAAACACAAGCATCATTGTTTGAAGAAGGGACTCACCAACCAAACAGAAAACAGCTTAACATGCATCAAAAGAGAGAGATTGTGGATGCAATGCTATTGAAAATGCAAGATGGTAACCTACCAAGAGGTTACAAGGTAGAATTATCAATCAAGTTCAAGGTTCATAAATCAACAATCACAAGACTTTTCAATGAAATAAAAAGGCAGATGGCAGAAGGGAATTTGATTGATGTCAGGTCCAAAAAGATAGGCAGGACAGGTCCAAAGCCAATGGAATTTTCTGATAAATTCCTACAGTCAGTCCCACTACACTTAAGACAGACAGAAAGATCATATGCTGCAGCACTCAACATTTCACATGTTACTCTTCATTATTTGAATAAAAAGGGGAGAATCAAAATACACACAGCAAGCAGCAAGCCAGCACTAACATCAGATCACAAGGTGGCAAGAATGAAGTGGGTTTTGTCTCACATAAACCCAATCCAAGGGAATGAGAACCCCACATTTGATGATATGAAGTATTCCATCCACATTGATGAGAAATGGTTTTATCTAAACCCAGATAAAAGAAGATTTTATCTGCTACCAAGTGAGGAAGATCCCTATATGGCTCAACAATCAAGGAGGTTCAAATTAAAAGCTATGTTCATGGCCATTATAGGGAAGCCTCTTTATGGGACACATGGGGAACTCCTACATGATGGGAAATATGGGATATTCCCATTCACACAGTAAGAAAGGGCAAAGAAGTCAAGCAAAAACAGACCAGCTGGCTTATTGGTCATAAAAGCACTTCAAAATGTCAACAGAGATGCAATAAGGGACATGCTACTTAATAAAGTCATACCAGCAATAGTGTCAAAATGGCCAGCAAGTTTGCCCAAAAATGTGGTGATGCAATGGGATAATGCAAGGCCACATCAAATACCAAGAGATGAAGATTTCATTAAAGCAACACAAGCAAATGGATTTAACATTGAGTTTGTGTTCCAACCAGCACAATCACCAGATTTGAATGTGTTAGACTTAGGTCTGTTTAGATCTATTCAATCTTTGCAATATCAATCTTTTCCAAAGAATGTAGATGAACTTGTTAAAAAGGTCATTGAGTCTTATAACAATTTCAAAACAGAAGTAAACAAGTACATTTGGGTGACATTACAAAGATGCATGATCAAGATTCTAAAGGCAGAAGGAGGGAACAAGTACAAAATCCCACATATGAACAAGAAAAAGCTGGAGAATTTAGGCATTCTCCCAAATCAGATTGAAGTAGAAAGGAGTATAGTGGTGGAAGCTGTGGAATACCTGAACACAATGTTCAGGCCAGCACCCTAGGGAAATCATGAAGCAGAAACAGAAGACATGGAGGTAGATGTAGACTAATTACAAAGACACACAACAAACAACCACACACTGCCACACATAACCACTTAGGAGTGAAGAATGATATGTTAAATTTCACTTTTGTTTAGTTATTTTTGGGTACCAATCAATAGGTGGTTAGGTGTATTTTGTATGGTAGATTATTGAAATACACATGAAAGGCAGTGGTGGTTTAGTTCTAGTGCATTTGTAACAGGCTTTTTGTAGCCATATTTTCAAGTTAATGGAAGTACTCAATCACATGAATCCATCAGGAGATCATTTTATTTGTACACACAACCTTTCAAACATGGTTACCTCAACATCAATCACAATATAGTGATTGGTGGAGCTATACCTTTGTTCAAATAGTATTTCATAGGAGTCCCTTCATCATTTGGATTCAATTACAACACAAATAATGTAGAGCAAATGGGGATTGTTCAATAATAACAAAAAGGGGTATGTCAAGGGAACTCCATTACAAAATGTTCTCTACACTATGATCATTGAGAACATTTTTCACACAACAACCCAAACACCCAAATCAAGAAACCATAAAAAAGGATCATCATTCAACAACCAAATTCCCATATGCCATATGCCATGATTACAACATCAACCAATCATTATCCAACTCATAAAATGCATCATTAGCCAACTCATAAAATGCATCAACAAACCATCAAACACCCCAAAACAATGTATCTAACATAGAAGGCAACCAAACCAGAAAGAAATCCCAGTCCTCACCAAAATCCAACATAATATCCAACAATCAAAGGACAGAAGCACCAAAACCATGTACAACATAATATCCAACATAAAAAGGACAGAAAGCACCAAAACCATATCCAACATAATATCCAACATAAACAGGACAGAAGCACCCAATCCATATCCATCGTAATATCCAACATAAACAGGACAGAAGCACCAAACCCATATCCATCAAAATATCCAACAGTAACAGGACAAAAGCACCAAAACCATATCCATCAAAATATCCAACATTAACAGGACATAATCAGCAACACCATGTCCATCAAAATATCCAACATTAACAGGACAAAATCACCAACACCACATACAACATCACAACACAACAACGCCACCACAACATAATCAAATATAACCACAGAGTATATGTGCATAACATAACCACCATAAACAATTCATGTCACAAGCATACACAATCAACTTAAAAATAAGACTCAATAACAAAAATTAAACAAGTTAGGGTTAGGAAGCGTTACGAGTGCATCTACTCAGAGGGTTGAACTGTAGGGTTCATCCGCCTCACATAGCACGTCACAACAGGAACAGAACAAGAGGGCACTTCTGGTTTCTTGGCTGGAGGTTCCTTATCAGGCTCCTCATCAGAAGACAGCACAATCAACTCATGGTCAGGGAGGCCACGCATCCTTCTCAGAGCAACACGCGCGGCCTTCCTAGTAGCCTTAACTCTTGGGGGTGGCCTTTTCCTCTTAGATCTAGGCTTAGTGGGCACAACATCACTGCCCTCACCTTGCTCAGCAACCAGATCTACAGCCATCTTAGAGAAATCAAGCGATTTACGACGGGACTCACCAACACCCTCCTCCTTCTTCGCTTTTTCTTCCTCGTCGAGGCTTTTGAGGACTTGACCAAGGGCTCTGTAAGTGTACAGAGTACAGTACGGACCCGTCTCACTAGACTCGTAAAATTCACGAGGAAAAGAAGATCCAACCTCGAAGCAGTGCATGAAATTTAGGATCAAATTCTCCTCTCCCTTGTCATCCGTAGCCATATATGCATCCTTAAGAGGATCTAAGTTCAACATTTTTATGGAGGGACTCTGATTGAGAAAGAAAGAAGAAGAGGAGAGTAGATCTGGAGTGAAAAATAGAGAAAATCGGAAGAACAGAGGAGAGAGAATAACCTAGAAGATGAACTAGGGTTCATCTTATGAACTCTCCAGAACATATAGGGAGCACGAATCATCAGCAATTAATTTGGGTAGTTGGGAAGTTGTGTAAATGAAGAGAGAGGAGGGGAATTGGAAGATAAAAGGAGGGAACAATTAGATTAGGTGAATCTGATTAGTTTAGGTTAAATTAGATTAGGATATTATAATGGTGTTGATTAAAAAATAAAACAATTATAATTAAGGGTAAAATTGTAATTTTTCCCTTTTCTTTTATACTAAAAATAGAAACAAAATGGAAAGTTGCACATAACCCCGAGCGGACAAAAATGGCAAAAATTGAAAATAACTATTAACGGACGGACGTAGTATATAATTAGTCCCGTATTTGCGCAGTTAAGTTTTCACCCATCTTAGAGAGTGTAATGTGTATGTAGCAGTAGGCCAGTAGCCACCTAAATTTCAATTTCCAATTCTAATTTCAATTTGAGTAGTGAGTCCCTGAAAATCAAGCATTCAACAATGGCGAATCAACTCTACGGCCACCAAAAACAATCCTCCAGCATCTACAATTCCTCTTCAAGATCCGCCATTGATGCATACCATCCAGAACAACAACAACCATCTTCCCTTCGAACCTCTTCTCGCTACCTCTTCGACCCTCACTCTCTCTCCTGTGACCCTCCTTCCTCTTTCTATCGAACTACTCCTTCCGATTCTCATCCTCTTCGCTACTCCTCCTCTGACCGCCACTCTCTCTCCTCCATTGACAACCTTGGACTCACCTCTGCTGCTTCCAGAATGTACGTTCCTACTGCTACTTCCACCTCTTTGTGGCCTTCTTTCGACGCTTCTTCTACTCTCAGTAAGCGCCCTTCTAAAGGTTAGCAATCATATCTTCTTTAGATCTTGTCTTCAATTTTGAGCATTGTTTAGGGCTTTGAAGTTGTACCACATTCAATGGCAATGGCAACTGCAATTACAATTGCGGAAATTGAACTTCGACAATAATTAGCTTTGAAATTTACTTGTATTAATGTTTTTTGTGTTTGTGAAGCTATTGCTTAGGTTGAAAACTTGAAACGATGAATGCGCTTTTTTGAATACCTTGATAATTCGTCATAATTTTAGTCTTGAAGTAGCTGGAAGTAGCTGGAACGCCCCTTTTTTTTAATGTGTATGTGTATATGTAATTACTGGATTGATGTTGAACATTTTATGTATGCAGTAATTCATAGGTTTGTCAATCTTATTGCTTATTGGAGCTTTGATGGTGATTTAACTATGTTGGGAACGTTGTTGGGTAGAAGGTTTAGTTTAGGTTTTCGCTGCTTTTATCTCTTTGGTACAATTGGTATAATGTATTTATTAGTAAATGGTTCACTTGTGTTAGCCCCCGTCTCAAGTTATTTACTTGCTCCAGCTGACTTTACACAGTCTCCTGAATACATTGACCATGAATTATTTTGTTTTATGTAACATTATAAAGTAAAAATTGTCATAATTTGAAAATAAATGCTGAAATAACTTAGATCATATGGAGTAAGTAATTTAGTATAGACATTCTCTTTGGGAGTTGTGTTTTTCTTGCTGGTTAGTGTGGTCACTAGTTCTTTCTATGAACCTTTTAGGTGTGGAATGATATGTTATTTAAAGGATTGCAGTTTCTTTTTTGTGATTGTTAAGTGTGTACAATGACTACAATTATTCTCTACTTAAATATAGGTTCGTCAAGGTTTCCCTTCATCTAGATTGGGAAGATTTACTTTATATGTTTGAAATCTGAACTTTAATGCTAAGATATGAACCATATTTCAAGTGGAAAAAGAAAAAAAATGGTTGCCTGATCCCTAAATCAAATGGACCCAAAACCAAGTTCCGTAATAAACTGATTAAACAAGTAATCGCTTAGAATGTTTGTTGCAAAAGAATAAGAATGGGCGTCTTATTTCCCGTGGTTGGTATTTTATGCTAAGTTTGTATTTTTACATCCGTGGTTGTCTTGTGGTGTTATAAAACCTTCCATCTATGAGTTATATATGGGGCCGTAATAGATTGGATGAGTGGAAAGTTGCTGTCTCCTCTTTGGCTCACATCAGATTTATGGCTGAATAACACTAGGTGTTAGGTTATGTTAAATGGGCTAAGGTACCTATTCATTATACAGGTACACACTTTGGTCAAAACCTAATGTGAAGAATGCCGTAACAATGTCTATTTTGGGGCCTTGGGGGATAACTTCATGAAATGATAATTTAATTATATAGTTAGAATTGGAGAACAAAATTTGCTATGAAAAATTATATAAAGAGGATTGAGCCATGGCTATGTTTCTGCCAATTGTCATTTTCTCTATGTAACATTAATAGATGGTTATATTCAAGGTGAGATATTACAGTGTTTGTTGCTTGCAGGTAATATTGTGTTTTTAGACTTCTAGGCTTAGTGATAAATTAGAGAGATAGGGGTATACGTTAGAATCTTGAGGTTTATACTTATTTAATGTGAAACTAATTACATGGAGTGCCAATTTAATGTCTAGAGTGAGTCAAATGAAGATGTATACAGTGCAACTGTAAGGAATTCCCATCAGTTAGCTCTATAAGTACTTGATTCGGTTCTACACAAGAATAGAGATATTTACCAATATATCAATCACGATAAGTGTGGGTGGCTCAAATCAAGAGTTGCAAGTGGAATATGGTGTGACTGTAGCTCAGCTTTATGATTGTAGGAAAAATCTTTTGGATGACTATTAGTCTAGCATGGGACCATGGGTTGATTGTTGAGTGAAGCACATACATATGTCAGAGATGGATGTATGGGATAGAAATCTTAATGTGGATATTCAGTGTAAGGTTTAAGATGTGGATAGGTGGAGTAAGTATGAAAGCACTTATGGAATTCATAGAATTGAATGGAAGAAGATGATCTTTGTCGGCAACCACCAGAGATAGAATCTTTGGTAGATGTGTTAGCAGATCTCACGTTGAAGATGCTTGAAGGGATTTAAAGGAGGGGAAAAAGGGGCTAAATGATCGTAATGTTGAAGATGCTTGGTGGGAATTAATGAAAATGCAGATATTGTCTCCCTGTTGTATCATTGCTCGGATTAAATATGGTATAATCTGATGACATTGGTGAACCAGGTGCTTATTCCATGTCATTGTAGGGGTTGTGCTGTATTGCCACAAAAATGGCAGAAAGTTTGATGTGGGTGTGACATTGCTTATAAGTTTTTCCTCAAGCTATTATTTGGCAGATTGACCATATTAATGCCTCTCTTAGATATGAGTTGAGAAGAAATCTAAAAATTACTTAGTGAGTTTGCAAAAGTTTCTAGGCTTTTGGTGGATGGTGGTTAGGTCCTTTGTTACATGGAATCGACATTTCCCCCTCCATATCTCTGTCGACCTTACCCTGCACGGGTATGAAATCAGGGTCCGAACCAACTTTTTACACTCGGACATGACATTGAAGAAAAAAGAGAGAATTAAGTTCAAAGCTTTGCAACTTTCAATGGCTTCTTCCCGACATTTCTAAGTTTTTCTCTCTTTTTTTCTCATGTGCATGTGATAAAAGTATCTTAGTTTTTTATCTCTCCCCTCTCTTGTTCACATAGCCACTCGTAAGTCACTTTAAAAGTTTTTTATTTTTATTATATTATTTATTTATTTATGCTAGTGGTGGCTAGGTTTTTGATTCATTATGTGAGTGGACTTAAATCTAGTCAACAACTTTATTCCTCTTTTACTCCATTTTATTTTGTTAACTCATATTAAATGATAACTATTAGTTTATTACTATTATTTTTTAACGAAGTATCTAATTTTTTTTTATTTTATATTTACATATCTCGTACTCGTAACTGTGTTCGAAATCAGGACAAAGTTCCCGTGTCTTATTTATAGAAAATGCCTTACCAGACACTCGGATCCGTACCCATACCCGACTCTCCTAACTGAGTCCATGTAACATAGGTTAGGTCTTTAAACTGTAATGCTAAAATATATTTGTTTTGATGGGAGGTGTGACATGAAAACAAAGATAATCTTTAATGAAGTTGGTTTAATACTATTGCAAATGGTAATGTCACATGTTTGAGTTATTGTAAATTTGTCCACTGATGAATGTTTTAGCTTGATCTTGCAGTCTCTAACTCTAGCTAGAAATTATCTTGAGCTGTCTCTTAAGATTGCATCTGGAGTTTCTTGTTATGTTATCTGTTGATGTCCCTTACAATATGTAGTGCTACAGATGAAGTGTGTTGAAAATTTTCAAAGGATGATTTCCACCTTAGATTAGAGCTTTTGCAGATAATTTCTAGCTAGAGTTAGAGCTTTTTTATGGTTAAATTTCTCCCCACTTAGCTACAATAAGGGTTGTAGGGAGAACTGTAAGGAATAATCCTTTATGATATAGATTATGTTTCACGAGGAGATCATTAAAAACCACTCTTTTTTACATTCATTTTGTCATCGTTGTGTAAGACACAAAGGCATGTTCGATTTATCTCAAACCTATACTTCGTAATGTGCGAGTTGTAGGTTGGAGGAAATACATCTCATTCATTTGGATATAAATAGCAGGATTTTAAAAATCATTCTACCCTTATAATTTATAGTTTGAATTTTGAAATGGTGCCAAACTAGCTTTTCTATGGTATATGCACTAAACGTCTTTCATGGGGTCTCTTGGATTATAGAGATGCTGAATGTCTATTGGGTGGTGTCAATGGTTATTCTATTTGTGAGGATTCTGCTCCTTTGGCATGTATATTGGTTCCTTGCCATTTCTTTATATTCCCTTTGTCCTCAAGTTATTGTCCTCTTAGCATTGGGCATGCATATTAAGATGGATGGTTCCACATTGTGTGAGGTATAAAGGAAGAGAGTGAGATAGTGTTGGGGCCCTTATCATGGGTTGCATGAATTAAGTGAGATGGATCTTCCATTTAAGGTAAGATGCTAAATGTTTGAAGACCAAAAAAATGCTATGTAGGACAATTATTAGAGAATAGGTGGTATATAATATAATAATAAATAAAATATTCTTACTCTGACATAGCGGACAATCTCTCTTTCTCCATCTCTCCTATATTCTGTAATATATGCCTTTTTCTTGTATATATTTAAACTTTTCTTATAATACAATTCTATCTTTTTTTTCTATCTGATTAGTTCTTACTTTAAAGCTATTTGAAGTTATATAGTAACACACATATTGTGGTTTTTTTGTTTATACTCATATTATCTACTAAAGCTCTCTACGATCATCCTGTTCTGGGTGCCCATATGATTGGGCAAAATGAGGCTTGGTTTACTTCTGATTTTTTGGCCAAGCGCCCTAGATTGGAGAGTGCAAGCAATTTACCAATTTATCCACAAAGACCTGGAGAAAAGGACTGCTCGTACTATATGCTTACTAGAATCTGTAAGTTTGGAGATAATTGCAAGTTTGATCACCCTATCTGGGTTCCTGCAGGTGGAATTCCTGATTGGAAAGAGGTGAATCTTTGATACTTATCAAGTATATTATTTCTACTGTTTATTATAATTTAATACGCTTATTATATTTATATTTATATAATGGGTATTAGCATTGTAGTATCAGCCTGGCTAAATAATTTTAGAAAATAAAATAAGAGGGTGGTAACTTTATGCTTATTATTCAGAACTATTCAACTATAATTTGTGTAGCAATCTCCTTTACTCCCAACATTTAGAATTGTGTCAGCCAGTCAAAGACTGGATATGTTACATTATATTTGCTAAATTATATATTTTGTAACTATAACACAGTCCTATACTTTCTTCTTTTTCTTCTTCTTCTTCTTTTTTTTTTTTTTTCTTCTCTAGTGAGCTTATCCTTCTCGATTCAAGCTGTGCTTTGCTGGTTGCAAAATGTTACATTTGTTACCCAACACTACTTGGAGCATTGATAAAAATTCAGTGTTCTAGCAATATGATTCTCTTACATTTCACAATTATTCCTCCTTTCATTCTCTAAACTACGAGTATCAATTAGTGGAGGGGCATATTTAAGAACACTGTTACTTTCTTTCCTTGAAAGATTGAAATACAACTAATCAATTGGGTACTCTAATAGAAAACAAAGGAAACTTTTTTTTTTTTTTTTAAAAAAGCATATGAAAAAGCTATATGCAAACCTATTTGTGATGCTATAATTTCGAATTATATCATAATAGTTGCTAATCCATTTTTTTCCGTAAAACCTTTTGTCTGACTAGATAGGAAATTCTTATGTTGCTTAATCTAGAAGTTTTGAGTTGGAGGGCATAAATTCATTTGGAAAATTTGTCTAGAATATGCCAACCTTTGCGTGATTAGCTCAAAATAAGTCAGGTTTTTAATTAACTCAAAATAAGTCAAGTTTTTAATTAACTCAAAATAAGTAAACTTTTAAAGGGTATTTTCTTTCAATAGGTCCAATGATCTACAACCTACTAAACAAGTCAAAGCAATTTTTTAATTTTTTTAATTAAAAGTTAATTATAATTAAATTAAACAAACAATTTAAAAAAAATCTTCAAAAAAAAAATAAAATCCCAGTCACTCCCCTTCCCCACCGATCCATCACTGCCTCCTCCTCTCTGGCGGCGCCGGCGACCCAACCCTCATCCATTTCCCCACCCACGACACCCCCTTCCCGGCTCCTTTCTCGCTTCCCGCACCCTCACACCACCCCCTCCCTCAAAAATCAAACCCTTAAACCAACCTAGTTTATCTCGTGAGGAAGGTTCTTGATAGGCAAGTGTGATTCTTGTGAAACTTCAAAAAAACGAATTCATTCCCGTAATTTGTGCGATGAATTTCCGGCGAACTAGAGCGAAAGAGAAAGAGGTAGGGGTGAGCATAAAATATGGGTACCCGATTCTGAAACCGGAACTGGTTGAGACCCGGTGGGTCCATGATAGGACGTCGTCAACCTATCAAGAAATAAGACCTAACTCGATCCTACTAAACTAGTAGCAAGGGCAAGAAAGGGTCGAACCCATGAGAGGCGTTGAATCAACCACCAAATGTTATTGTTTAAACAAGCTAGATTAAGTCGGGGGTTTTAAGTTGGTATTACGTCACACTATTCTAATTCAAATCAACTAATTCTAAGAGGTGATTAACAATATTAAGAAGGCCTAGGGCATGGGTTACACCACTCAACTTCATCACGGACCACAAGTAGCATGCATAGAAATGGTGATTTAGGGGATAAATTAGGGGAAGTTATCAAATGCACCCAACTACTCTCTCAAGCTAGAGGGATTACTTGACATCACAACCATAACCTACTCTCGTGATTATGGGCAAGAAACAAGTGTTAAAACATCCTCACGATAACATGCAAATTCCCTTGACTAGAAATTCCTATTCTCATGGCAAATCAAGTCAATCAAGCATAAGGGAGCTTCCTCAAGTTCATCTCTCGATCCTTCGTTGAGGAAGCTAGATAAATAATTCAAGCAATGGCCAATTACAAGAATTAACAATGAAACCTCTTAAACTCAACTAATTAACACCCCACAATTAACAAATTAGTACATGCAACAAGTGTTGGTGATTACATTGAGGGTTCACCCAAACCCTAGAAATTAGACTACTCACAATCCATGGAAGTTAAAGCAATTAAAGATTTCAAGGAATTCATGAACAAATTAAAACTAAGAATTAAGTAGAATCTAACAATTAAACATGCAAAGAACAACCAAACAATTAATAAAAAGCAAGAATTAAAGATAGAAGAGAGAAAGAAAGAGTAAGAAAAATTACTAGAAACTTCAATAATTGACTAACAATGGTGGAACTTGTCTTCTACAATGATTGGATTGAAAACCTTCAAAACAAGAACTAAAATCTATGCTAATTTGAGGATTTTTGTGTTTCAAACTAAGAGGAGTATGAAAATCTGGAAAAAAAATTGGGAACCCCTCTAAAATGGTCCAAAGGGGCTATTTATATTACCCCCTAAAATAAGAGGACGGAGAAAACAAGAAACGGGTAAACTGTAGGTCTGCACGGACGTGCTGAAGTTGGCACGTCCGTGCAGACCAAGGCAGAAACTCAGTTTAAGACGACCTGCTGCAGCACGGGCGTGCACCTTTGGCACGTCCGTGCTGCATCATCTGCACGGACGTGCAATATTTGGCACGTCCGTGCAGGCCTTGGCAGAAAGATGGGTTCAGGTCTGCACTCCTGCACGGACGTGCAACATCTTGCACGGCCGTGCAGGGTCTTCTGGGCCCTTTTCTTCGTGTTTTCTTCTACGATGCTCTTGTACTTGGATTCTTTCCATCATTTCCTTGCTTCTAACCTCGGTTTGGTAACCATGGGCTTCATTTGGTCGTCTTTGGACCTAAAATCTCAACAAAAACACTAACAACCCGTGAAGCATAGGATGCACAAAAATTGCATAATAATAGGGTAAAAGTGAACCAAAACACAAATTTGTTCAGGTAAACTAGGTTCAAATACGCCCTAAAACCGCATAAAATAGCAAGTTATCAAATCCCCCCAAGCTAAGCTTTTGCTCGTCCTCGAGCAAACTAGTCATGACAAAACAAATAGAGGGAACTAACTTGTTATAGAAGGTTGAAGCAAAAGTTAAACCAAGAAAGGGTAGGCATACACAATAAACCGAACGATCACTTTTAGCAAAAGTGAGAAGCCGTTTAAACCTACAAGTCGCCTAGTAGGACGAGTCCATCTCTCGTGAGGGTTTCCAAAGAGAATCACCCACAACTCCCACAAACACAACACACGATTTTTTTTTTTTTTTTTATAGCCCAAGTCAACTCATCGGGATGTGATTCAAAAGCAAGACAAGTGAACAACATTCAAAAATCAACATCATAATAATGTACACATGAGTTAGAGACCAAGAAGGATGCTGAACAAGATTGCAATGGAACACTTCCTTAGGCTTTTTACTAGTTCATTAAAGCACATTTGCTCATTCCTAAGTCATAGCACATTTTTAATTTCGGTTATAAAATAGTGAAATACAAGTCCACCTCCCAAGATGCACAAACAAACTCCCTCCACTACACTCTACTATGAGATTTTTACAAGAGGAAACTAAAGATAAAGGGTGTGGGAGGCATCCACAAATTGACCTCAAAAGGGAAATGTAAAATTTTTTTTTCATAAGATAAAGCCCTTGAATTTGAGACTTTATTTATTTGCTCCGCCTTTTTTGACTGTTGAGCGGCATTTTTTTATTTATTTATTTATTTTTTTTTATTTAGAAATTGTGGTTTATTTTACCAATTTATTTAATAAACATAAACCTAATAAATCTCAAGCAAAGCTTTATTTTGGGAAGAGTGGAAGGCACACCAAGGGCACAAGGGACCGCAAATCAACTAAACATAACCTAATTCAAGTGTGCTTAGACAATTTCATGAACTTAATGTGCAAATGAACATTCATCGACTTTCATTTCATGTTCAAACCAAGGCAATCAAGTTTAATAAACTCCTATATGACTCCAACCCTTGCATACACTTTTTTCTCTCTTTTTTCATTTTTTTTAGAAACCAGGCTAAACTAGGCATAAAATAACTATACATCTAAATAAGGGATAGGAGAAGTATCCACAATGTAAGGGATTTGGATTTCAAAGGAAGCAATTTGGATTCAAAGGGTTTGGATGTTAGGGAAATGGGAATAGGGGCATGCAAATCAACATATACGTACGAGAACACAGCATGAACCAATGGTAAATGAGAAAATACTCCCCCCCAAGCTATCATAAACATTGTCCCCAATGTTGAAACAATATAAGCACAAAGAGAAGGGGAAGGAGATACTAACTCATTGGTTCGGGCCCCCTTGGGAGCTCGAACCCCCGGGGTAGAGATGCTGATATACATTGCGGAAGTCGCCCAATTCCGTTCGAAGACCCTCAAAGCTTGACCTTATTCCGTCGAAAGAAGTCCTCAAGTCTTCATTTGACTTCCTCATGGTCTCAAACTCGGAAGTCATGCGGGCGAAGTTCGCATTCATATTAGCCATCTGCTGCTCGAAGGTGAGGAATGGGTTGCCTTCACCCATGCCCTGACCTTGGTACCCCTCTTGGTACCCTTGTTGGAACTCGTACTGCTGGTGAAATTCTGGTTGTTGCTGAAATTGTTGTTGTTGATGATGTTGTTGTTGTTGATGCTGTTGTTGTTGATGCTGTTGTTGTTGCTCTTGCTGCTCTTGCCCTTGTTCCTCTCCCTCTTGACCGGGAGCCCAAGGGAAGTCCCTCTCAAAGATCCAGTTCGCCTGGTTGTAGATGGCGGTGGCCTCGGGGTCGGGTAAGTAGGCATAGGGGCGCCTACTCACCAACCACAAATAGGGGTGGTTCCCCTCTACATCCGTGAGCCATTTCATGGCTCTCAGCGACTGCATATCCAACTGTGTTGGACCTGGAACAACCTGCTCTTCTGCAAAATCAAGGTTAAGAGCAGCAGCAATTATAGTAATCATACCACCTATGGTGATGTTGC